TTTTGCCGCCACATCACATTGTTGACGGCAAAAAAGCCAATGGGATTTTGGCCTGCATTAATAGGAGCATAGTGTCTAGATCTAGGGAAGTCATGCTACCCTGTCACTTAATGGTTGATAGCTTCAACCAAGCCAGCCAAGCTGCGCACTGGAGGTCCTTTGCAGTCTCCCCATCGCTGCCTCTGGCCCTAAAGCGGGATGATTCCAACAACGCACTCAAGATAAATAGAAACATCCCAACCAAGTGCAGGGATGGCAAGGCACAAAAGAGGCCTTCCGTCAACTTGTGGATTTTATAGGGTCTTCTACGTCAAGAGATGGTATTACCAGTCCCTTCCTCTGAAATAGAGCCTACAAGCAGCTTGATATTCCTTGTCAGTCTCCTGTTCAAGGACTAACCAGGACAAACACTGCTTAGCTTCCAAGACTCCACAAAAGCTGCATCGAGACCTTCAGGAGATTTTGCGGGGTATAAATAAAGTTAATAATAATAATAATAATAATAATAATAATAAAAGTTATATTATGCTATTGCAGGCACGGGCAAACTTGGGCCCTCCAGGTGTTTTGGACTTCAACTCCCACAATGTGGGTATGTAGATGATCCCATACCTTTGTCCTCTTAGAACTAGATGCTCCAGTCAATCAAAGGATCATCTGCATACCCACATTGTGAGAATAGGAGTCCAAAACACCTGGAGGGAGGGCTGAAGTTGGCCCATGTTTTTGTCCTCTTGGAACTAGACACTCCAGTTAATCTAGGGGTCATCTGCATACCCACGTTGTGGGAGTTGGAGTCCAGAACACCTGGAGGGAAGGCCCAAGTTGACCCATGCCTTTGTCCTCTTGGAAATGGACACTTCCATCAATAAAGGGAGCATCTGCATATCCACATTGTGGGAGTTGAAGTCCAAAACACCTGGAGAGAGGGCCCAAGTTGGTCCTCTTGGAACTGGACACCGGTCAGTGAAGGGATCATCTGCATACCCACGTTGTGGGACCTGGAGTCCAAAACACCTGGAGGGAGGGCCCAAGTTGGCCCATGCCTTTGTCCTCTTGGAACTGGACACTTCTGTCATTCAAGGGATCATCAACATACCCACGTTGTGGGAGCTGAAGTCCAAAATACTTGGAGGGAGGGCCCAAGTTGACCCATGCCTTTGTCCTCTTGGAGCTGGACACTTCATCAAGGGTCACCTGCATAGCCACGTTATGGGAGTTGGAGTACAGAACACCTGGAGAGAGGGTCCAAGTTGGCCATTGCCTTTGTCCTCTTGGAACTGGACACTTCAGGCAATCAAGGGATCATCTGCATACCCACGTTGTGGGAGTTGGGAGTCCAGAGCACCTGGAGGGAGGGTCCAAGTTGGCCCATGCCTTTGATCTCTTGGAACTGGACACTTCAGTCAATCAAGCGATCATCTGCATATCCATGTTGTGGGAGCTGAAGTCCAAAACACCTAGAGGGAGGGCTCAAGTTGGTCCTCTTGGGACTGGGCACTTCAGACAATCAAGGGATCCTCTGCATACCCACGTAGTGGGAGCTGAAGTCCAAAACACCTGGAAGGAAGGCCCATGTTGGCCCATGCCTTTGTCCTCTTGGAACTGGACATTTCAATAAATCAAGGGGTCATCTGTATACCCATGTTGTGGGTCCAAAACACCTGGAGGAAGGGCCCAAGTTTGCTTATGATTGGTATATAGGGTAGTAGGTGCAATGAGGCCACAGGAAGGAGGTTCTGTTCTTTGGAACAACTGGGTGTCTCTGGGGAAGAAATGTCCCCCAGAGAGATATTGACAAGCTGGAATGTGTCCAGAGGAGGGCGACTAAAATGATCAAGGGTCTGGAGAACAAGCCCTATGAGGAGTGGCTTAGGGAACTGGGCATGTTTAGCCTGAAAAAGAGAAGGCTGAGAGGAGATATGATAGCCATGTATCAATATGTGAGAGGAAGCCACAGGGAGGAGGAGGGAGCAAGCTTGTTTTCTGCTTCCCTGGAGACTAGGACGCAATGGAACAATGGCTTCAAACTATAAGAGAGGAGATTCCATCTGAACATTAGGAAGAATTTCCTGACTGTGAGAGCCGTTCAGCAGTGGAACTCTCTGCCCCGGAGTGTGGTGGAGGCTCCTTCTTTGGAAGCTTTTAAGCAGAGGCTGGATGGCCATCTGTCAGGGGTGATTTGAATGCAATATTCCTGCTTCTTGGCAGAATGGTGTTGGACTGGAGGATGGCCCAGGAGGTCTCTTCCAACTCTTGGATTCTATGATTCTTTCTGCAAATAGCAAACAAAAGTTGTATACTGTTATAGACAACTGTGCTGGGCGGTTCTCAAATACATCAGTTGGTTTAATGTGAAAGTGAAACGCTGAATAACACTCACTTTCGTTTTGCTATTTGGTATAGATATCTGTGTTCTTTGGAACTCTTTCTGCAAAAACCCAATGGCCTTCCAAAATGGGATTGGCCTAGTGCAGTCCTCACCATTGGCTCGACATTTGGAGGGCCACACTTCCTTTCCCTTAGAAGCAATATGCTTGCCTCGCACGGCGGTGGCCGCTGTTCGCTCGTCCAGCGATATCTTTTCCATATGACCCCATTCTTGGGACGAATGCAACCATATTTGTGCAGCGCTTCCCAACATGGATCGTGCCTTTACTCACACACACGTAGAAGCCAGGCTTCCATCAGACAACACATGTCATTCCCTCTTTGCTTGGAAGAGGTAAACCATGTCTGTTTGCAAACAGTGGCCTTTCAAGGGGAGCAACTGATTGACCACTGGACTGACCGGACCCCTGAGCCACCTACTATTCCAGGCATGGGCCAACTTTGGCCTTCCTTCCAGGTGTTTTGGACTTCAACTCCATGTTAGGAATTGTGGGAGTTGAAGTCCAAAACACCTGGATCATAGAATCATAGGATCCTAGAGTTGGAAGGGACCTCCTGGGCCATCATCCAGTCCAACCCCATTCGGCCAAGAAGCAGGAATATTGCATTCAAATCACCCCTGACAGATGGCCATCCAGCCTCTGCTTAAAAGCTTCCAAGGAAGGAGCCTCCACCACATTCCGGGGCAGAGAGTTCCACTGCTGAACGGCTCTCACAGTCAGGAAGTTCTTCTTCGTGTTCAGATGGAATCTCCTCTCTTATAGTTTGAAGCCATTGTTCCATTGCGTCCTAGTCTCCAGGGAAGCAGAAAACAAGCTTGCTCCCTCCTCCTCCCTGTGGCTTCCTCTCACATATTTATCCATGGCTATCCTATCTCCTCTCAGCCTTCTCTTCTGCAGGCTGAACATGCCCGGCTCCTTAAGCCGCTCCTCATAGGGCTTGTTCTCCAGACCCTTGATCATTTGAGTCGCCCTCCTCTGGGCACAGTATTCCAGCTTAGAGTCAATATCTCTCTTGAATTGTGGTGCCCAGAATTGGACACAATATTCCAGGTGGGGGTCTAACCTGGCGTGGTCTAACTTGGATGGCCGAAGTTCACTCATGTCTGTAATACACACCAATTCACATAGAATGCAGTGGTTGATCTGATGCAGTGTGTTTTTGCTATCGAAGGAGTCTGGAGAACCCACCTCCATTTTTCTCTTTTTCATTTCCTGAAAGGCGCAAGAAGAGTCAGACCTACTGACAGATAGACTATCTATCTATCTATCTATCTATCTATCTATCTATCTATCTATCTATCTATCTATCTATCCATCCATCCATCCATCCATCCATCCATCCATCCATCCATCCATCCATCCATCCATCTATATGTATCTGTATATTCTTAAGGGGTGGTTTTGCCAATCCTTCCCTTTGCAATAGAGCCTATGGCGCCTGGAAAAGTACCCGGCGCCTGGAAAAGTACCCGGTTCCTTTCTTTGCCCTGCAAACATTGGAATAACAGGATGGTTGCCGGCCGGCTTCCAGCAGAGGGTGCTCCTGTTCCATCGATGGAGGGCTCCGAATCTCGACGGCTTCTTCCCACCCAACAAGCCAAAGCATCCCTTCACCTTCCCGACCCACAGATCCTCAGCCAAGTTCAACACCCCTTGAGCTTTGTTGGAGACTTGTCTTGGGTTTCTCCAACGCCCTGAGCACTACGACGACAGAGGCCAAAGAGATGAACACCAGGGCCCCCCACTTTGCCCCCTTTATGGTGCCACTCTTTTATTCCCACCCCAAAGGGCCTGAACATCAACCAAAAAGTGGGCGCTAGAAACAATATCACATGAAAGCTGACTGGCACAACCTGGGGATCATAACCAGATACAGTGAAGACATCTGCCCTTGCGCTATGCTACTCTGCTGCTGAGTACGTATGCCCAGTGTGGAACACATCTCATCACACTAAAACAGTGGATCTGGCTCTGAATGAGACATGCCACACTATCACGGGTGTCTGCCCTACACCACTGGAGAAATTACACTGCTTAGCCGGCATCGCACCACCTGACATCCGCCGGGAAGGAGCAGCCAATAGTGAAAGGACCAAGGCAGAGACATCTCCAGCTCATCCCCTGTTTGCGTATCAGCCAGCATGTCAACGACTTAAATCTAGAAATAGTTTTCTTAGATCTACAGAGACACTTGCTGGAACATCTCAGCAAGCAAGAGTTCAAAAGTGGCAGGCTCAAACCTAGAACCTCGACCAATGGCTGATACCAGATGAGAGACTCCCCCCTGGGCACACAGAAGAAGACAGGGCAACTTGGAAGGCGCTGAACAGACTGTGCTCTGGCACCACGAGATGCAGAACCAACCTTAAGAAATGGGGCCACAAAGTGGAATACACGACATGCGAGTGCGGAGAAGAGCACACCAGTGACCACCTGCTGCAATGCACCCTGAGCCCTGCCACATGATGCACGATGGAGGACCTTCTTGCGGCAACTCCAGAGGCCCTCCAAGGGGCCAGATACTTAGAAATGTAATACAATGTTCTGGTTGCGGATGACACGATCAATAATAAAACCCCAAAGGGAAACCCAGAGGAAGGTACTCACTGTTCTGGGCTGGAGACCGACGTCCTTCGCCCATCCAGAGGAACGTTGCTCTTGGGCCTCCTGGAGACGTGGGGCCTGGGAGGCCGGACCTGCGGGAGAGGAAGCGGAGATGTTCCAGTCATTCCAACCCTGAGTCCCACGGGCCTCACAACACTGAACGCAGACCCCATTCCGTTGTGCACCACACAGGCGCACACGTCTCCATGAGCAAGAGGCTGGCCCTCAAGGCTCAGTGGGGCACGAAGGGTGGCAGGGTGGCGGGCGACACTCGGAGAGAACAATCATGCTTTTCTTTTCTTTTCTTTTCCCAAGCACAACTACGCCAGGCAGCGCATCTGGCTTTGGACTCATTCCCACAGAGGAAACGGGTCAAGGAAGGGGCGCATGTGCAGGAGGCAGGGGGAGACGGAGCAGCAGGTGGCCTTGTTGGGTCGAGAGATTTGGGGCACCGGCTCCCCCGGCAAAGCCTGCCGCTCAAGAGGAGGCTTTTCTCAGATGCCGAAAATGCCAGAAACAATTTCCAGGAGTCACTTGTGAAAGAAGAAAGTGCTCGCTCGATGGCAAAACAAACCCAAGGCGGTGGGAAGGGGGAGGCCAACATTCTCCACCATCAAGGATGGATCCAGGCCTGATGGGAAGCATTGATGCATTGGGAACAGAGCACCAAACAATCCACACCACAATGCACCATTTGGACGGCTCGTCTTATTAGAATGGGGCGAAGTTTTGAATACAAACACTTTGTTTGGTAGTCTCAGTTTTACTGTGAATTTAGTAAGACAAGAGTGGCTTCGAAGTGGGGTCACTTTTGGTGTGAGAGAATTGGCTGTCTGCAAGGATGTTGCCCCCTTCTGGTGTGAAAGCAATGGCTGTCTGCAAGGATGTTGCCACTTCTAATGTGAGAGAAATGGCTGTCTGCAAGGACATTGCACACTTCTGGTGTGAAAGAACTGGCTGTTTACAAGAACGTTGCCCACTTCTAGTGTGGGATAATTGGATGTCTGCAAGGATGTTCCCCGCTCCTGGTGTGAGAGTAATGGCTGTCTGCAAGGATGTTGTCCACTTCTGGTGTGAGAGAAATGGCTGTCTGCAAGAACGTTGCCCGCTTCTGGTGTGAGAGAAATGGCTGTCTGCACGGATGTTGCTACTTCTGGTGTGAGAGAATTGGCTGTCTGCAAAGACATTGCCACTTCTGGTGTGAGAGAAATGGCTGTCTGCAAGAACGTTGCCCCCTTCTGGTGTGAGAGAATTGGCTGTCTGCAAGGACATTGCACACTTCTGGTGTGAAAGAACTGGCTGTTTACAAGAACGTTGCCCACTTCTAGTGTGGGATAATTGGATGTCTGCAAGGATGTTCCCCGCTCCTGGTGTGAGAGTAATGGCTGTCTGCAAGGATGTTGCCCACTTCTGGTGTGAGAGAAATGGCTGTCTGCAAGAACATTGCCCGCTTCTGGTGTGAGAGAAATGGCTGTCTGCAGGGATGTTGCTACTTCTGGTGTGAGAGAATTGGCTGTCTGCAAAGACGTTGCCACTTCTGGTGTGAGAGAAATGGCTGTCTGCAAGAACGTTGCCCCCTTCTGGTGTGAGAGAATTGGCTGTCTGCAAGGACATTGCTTGCTTCTGGTGTGAGACAATTGGCTGTCTGCAAGGACATTGCCCGCTTCTGGCGTGAGAGAAATGGCTGTCTGCAGGGATGTTGCCACTTCTGGTATGAGAGAAATGGCTGTCTGCAAGAACGTTGCCCGCTTCTGGTGTGAGAGAATTGGCTGTCTGCAAGGACGTTGTCACTTCTGGTGTGAGAGAAATGGCTGTTTGCAAGGACATTGCCCACTTCTGATGTAAGAGAATTGGCTGTCTGCAAGGATATTGCCCGCTTATGGTGTGAGATAATTGGCTGTCTGCAAGGACGTTGCCACTTCTGGTGTGAGAGCAATGGCTGTCTGCAAGGATGTTGCCACTTTTGGTGTGAGAGCAATGACTGTCTGCAAGGATGTTGCCCACTTCTGGTGTGGGATAATTGGATGTCTGCAAGGGTGTTGCCTACTTCTGGTGTGAGAGAACTGGCTGTCTGCAAGGACACCCAGATGTGTTACCATCCTGTGGGAGGCTTCTCTCTTGTCCCCACATAGGAAGTTGGAGCTGACAGACCAGAGCTCACCCACTCCTGAGACTCAAACCACTGAACTTTCAGTCAGCAGTCCTGCTGGCACAAGGGTTTAACCCATGGAGCCACCGGGGACTGCAGTTTCTCAGGTTGCTCCTGCTACCAAAAAAAAGTGATGTGCCTCACGGAATGTAACATATTTGGAACTTATTTCCCATCCAAATTTCTGGAGGCTGCCTCCATTGTGCAACAGTTCAGTTCGCAGGCGGCAGCAAGGACAGGATGGTCCATGCTCAACTGGCTGAAGGGGAAAAGGAAGGGGTCTGAGGCTATTAGGAATTGTGGGAGTCAGTCAAGGGATCACCTGCATAACCATGTTGTGGGAGCTGGAGTCCAAAATACCCAGAGGGAGGGCCCAAGTTAGCTCATGCCTTTGTCCTCTTGGAACTGGACACTTCGGTCAATGGGTCATCTGCATACCCATGTTGTGGGAGCTGAAGTCCAAGACACCTGGAAGGAGGGCTGAAGTTGGCCTATGCCTTTGTCCTCTTGGAACTGGAACTGGAACTGAAGTCCAGAACACCTGGAGGGAGGGCCCAAGTTGGCCCATGCGTTTGTCATCTTGGAACTGCATTTATCAAGGGATCATCTGCATACCCAAGTTGTGGGTGTTCAGGTCCAAAACAGCTGGAGGGAGGGCCCAAGTTGGCCCATGCCTTTGTCCTCTTGGAACTGGACACTTCAGTCAGTCAAGGGATCATCTGCATACCCACGTTGTGGGAGCTGGAGTCCAAAACACCTGGAGGGAGGGCCCAAGTTGGCCCATGCCTTTGTCCTCTTGGAACTGGACACTTCAGTCAGTCAATGGGTCATCTGCATACCCACGTTGTGGGAGTTGGAGTCCAAAACCCCTGGAAGGAGGGCCCAAGTTGGCCCATGCCTTTGTCATCTTGAAACTGCATTTATCAAGGGATCATCTGCATACACACGTTGTGGGAGTTGGAGTCCAAAACACCTGGAGGGAGGGCCCAAGTTGGCTCATGCCTTTGTCCTCTTGCAACTGGGTCAAGAATATTAGTCAAGGGATCATCTGCATACCCACGTTGTGGGAGCTGGAGTCCAAAACACCTGGAGGGAGGGCCCAAGTTGGCCCATGCCTTTGTCATCTTGAAACTGCATTTATCAAGGGATCATCTGCATACCCACGTTGTGGGAGCTGGAGTCCAAAACACCTGGAGGGAGGGCCCAAGTTGGCCCATGCCTTTGTCCTCTTGGAACTAGGTCAAGAATATTAGTCAAGGGATCATCTGCATACCCACGTTGTGGGAGCTGGAGTCCAAAACACCTGGAGGGAGGGCCCAAGTTGGCCCATGCCTTTGTCCTCTTGAAACTGCATTTATCAAGGGATCATCTGCATACCCACGTTGTGGGAGCTGGAGTCCAAAACACCTGGAGGGAGGGCCCAAGTTGGCCCATGCCTTTGTCCTCTTGGAACTGGACACTTCAGACCATCTGCATACCCACGTTGTGGGAGCTGGAGTCCAAAACACCTGGAGGGAGGGCCCAAGTTGGCCCATGCCTTTGTCATCTTGAAACTGCATTTATCAAGGGATCATCTGCATACCCACGTTGTGGGAGCTGGAGTCCAAAACACCTGGAGGGAGGGCCCAAGTTGGCCCAGGCCTGATCTACACAGACGGCCTCTGGATAAATATTTATTATTATTTATCCGAACGTATCTCTCTCTACGTTCCACCTCGTAATTTAAGGCTTGGGAACCAGCAGGATGAGTGCAGGAGACAAATACCTTTCCTACCCAGAGGATGTTGTTTTCTCTGGATCGAAACCATTTTGGACAGAAAATTCTACACAGAGCTCATTTTGCGCACAATTCTCGACAACAGATATTCTGTAAAAAAAAATTGCAGAGTTTTTGATGACATTGATAAGGGAGGAAATGGTTGTCCTGGGTTGTGAAGATGGCGTCGGTGAAGCTTTGCTTGCGGGTGGAGAGAGAGCATTCAAGCGGGGGCTCCCCAAGGTCTGCTCCTCCGGGCAGGAGACGGGGCCACCGGTATGGCGGATTAATGCCGGGTCCCTTTGAAACCCCAGGGCGAGGCTGAATGGCTCCTGCCCCGCGGGGAGAAAGGGGGGAAAGGGGGTCAGGTGCCGGGGAGCCCCCCCCCCCCCGCGTCCACCCCGGAGCCGGTCCGGCACACAAGGCGGCCTCTCCCCCTGCAATCAAGGGGGCTTAAGGCGGGGAATGTGCGGCAGGGCTGGAAGGATTAAGTTTTGCGGCAACTCCGAGTGAACTTGCAAGGCGGAGAAACATGGGGGAAAAGAACAACAGAGCTAATTAGAGGAGCTGAGCTGTCAGAGCGGGGCTGCATGGCTCAGCGCCAGCAAACAAAAGGAATGGCTTGGCAATCAGCAGGATCGATGGAGGAGACTGCTTCATTAGGGATGATAAAACACACAGAAAGAGGGGAAGGCAAGAGGGAGAGGGAGGGGAGGGAGAAAGAGGGAGAAAGGAAGGAAGGAAAGAAAGAAAGAAGGAAAGGAGGGGAAACTGTTTAATTAAGCCTAACGCTGGCTTGTCACTGCGCTGCTGCGGACACTTTCACCTTCGGGGCGGCTCTCGCCTCTCTCGGCAATGCCGGGGAGGGAGGGGTGCCGAAAAGGGTGACCCAAGGAGGAAAAGGGCAAATCCCAGCAGGATGGCAAAGACTGTCGGGGAAGCACAAAACCCACAAGAATGCCCCGCCGTGGGCGCGCAACAATGCCAAGCCCACGAGTTGGCGAGAGCCTCTCCGTCCTGGCTGACCCTTTGGGCACAGGAGGATTCTGCACAAAATCCCCTGGCAAAACGAAACCGTTTCTGGACTGTTGACCCCGAAGCACACAATGCATCAAGAGTCTGGAGTCCGATTGTTATGGCATGCAGAACCTGGACAAATACTGTATATACCCGAGTATAAGCCTAGT